TATATGTATACACACATAAAATAGATACCTGAATGATCATATTGATAGTGTATTTGTAGATAATTTATAACTTTTCTTTAAACTTGAATTTCTGGCTCTCTGTCCCTCTGGAGATGGCCTGCATTCTCCCTGATGTATATCTACTTTCCCAAATAAGTCTGTGTCTGTGAAGAAAAATTTCTTATTTCTTTTTATTGATTTTTTAAAATAATGGACATATATTACTTTTATGAACTAAGTCAGTGAGCACTATAATTATATAGCTAATTTTTTTAATCAGGAAAAAAACTATTAAATGTTGCATAATATTGATAGTTTCAACTTCTCTCATAATGTAACATACATTATAGCAAAAAAATTTTTTTTAACCAGAGACTGAACCCAGGGGCACTTAATCATGGAGCCATATCCCAGCCTGGTTTTTTTTTTTTTTTTTTTTTTTTCTGGTGCTGGGGATTGAACCAGGCCTTGTGCATGGTAGGCATACACTCTACCACCTGAGCTATATCCCCAGCCCTTGTTTTGTTTTTCAGAGATAGAATCTTGCTAAATTGCTCAGAGCCTCACTTTTTGCTCAGGCTGGCTTTGGACTCATGATACTTTTGCCTCAGCCTCCCGAGCTGCAGGGATTATAGGTGTGCACCACACATCCAGCCTATACCAAAATTCTTTTTTTTTTTTTTTTTTCATTTTGATTTGAAAACTTATTTCTTTCATGCATTCTCAATTCTCAACCAGAAGAAGATCAATATTTCTTATTTCTAAATTAAAAACATAAATAACAGGACATGACATTTCCAGGCTTTCTATCATACGTTGCTATGACCCACAATACCCAAATTCTTAAATCTAAGTGTTGAGTTTTATTTTAGCTTTTTAATGAAAAAGATGGGTTTTTAAAGGTCTTTTAAAAATGAATTGATTGTAAATATCAGTTTAAAGTTAAAACTGAACTTGCTGATTGGAGTTAATAATAGTGATAATCTATGCCTCTTGATACAGAATATATACAGTTGAATTGTACTGTTTTAGAAGATTTGTGATATGTGTTATTTTTTGAATGCAGGAGACAGTGTTTCCCAAAACGACTTTTCTTCTGAAACTCCTATCTCCTTGAACCTTTCTCATCACATCTGCAATCCCACGTAAGTTTTTATTTTTTCAGCCTTTATGATACTTTTTTATGTGCTTTTTCTTTCAGTCAGTGTGTTTTCTTGGCACTCGGTTCTGCAGGTTAAAATACAAAATAAGGATGCAGGACAGTAAAACCTGATTATATTAATAATTCAGAAAGATTGATCCTTCTAAGTAAACACAATTTACATGGCAGTCTCTGGTGTCACTGCCTTCTCAGTAATAGAGCAAATGTGTTGTTTCGGAAAGAGAAAGAGGAGGCAGGAGTTACTATAATGCTGGGAGCCATCTGCCCTTTGCTAAGCCTTGAAACAAAGCCAAGCATTGATAATTCAGAGGATTTTTAAAAACCTAATAGATACTCACACATTAGCAACTCCTCTGTATAATTTGTTCTGCAGCATTGGACAAGTATAAACAACTCTAGCTGTCTCTCTGTGTGCTCAGGGATTGGTTCCAGGACTCACTCCCCTGTGGACACCAAAATCTGTGTATACTCTGGACTCTTAAGATAAAATGGTGCGTGTTTGCATATAACCTGTGCACATCCTCATGTGCACTTTAAATCACCTCTAGATACTTATAAAACTTAATGCACTGTAAACAGGTGTTGGAACGTGTTGTGTAGGGAATAGTGACAAAGAAAAAGTCTGCACGCATTCAGGACAGGCATAGCCATCACAGGCCTTGTGATGCCTGAGCATCTTCCTGCATAACCCTCAACAACAACAGTATAACTTCTTCCAAATATTTTCAACCCGTGGTTAGTTGAATCCACAGATGGGAACCTGTGGATTTGGAGGGCTGATGGACCTTTAATGATTGAGAGAACAGGGTAAACCAGGAGAGAGTTTCAGAGTGGCAGGTGTAACCAGGTTTCCTGGGCACCTGCCTCCTGAGGACGGAGGGATGTAACTAGATGGGTGATGTGAAGAAGGAAACGCAGCTATCGGCCAGGCCAAGGAAGGCGCCATGAACTTTCAGTTAGGGGTAGAAAGTCAGCTCTGGACTAAGAATTGCTGCTGCCTGGCAGGAGGCAGACCGAAGTGGCAGGTGGCCTTAGTCACTTTGGTTAAATTTGTATGGTTTCATGAAAGCAAAACTTGGCAAGATCTCGGGAATTTAGTTCTTCTCAGCTCTGCTGTACCTTTTTGTCTACATGATATTTTTGAGAGAAAGAATTCATGTAAAACCTCAGTTGGGCTTGGTTATGAAATTTCAATGTTCTTACACAGAAAACTCAGCAGTGCCTTCTTTGCTTGCCCCACAGAGACGTGAGTAACGTCCCACAGTACCCAGAGCCCTCCCAGCCCGGCCTTCCTGCTGGACCCGCAGGTGCTGAAGAAGACAAAGGTGAGGCACAGTACCCCTGGGGCCTGCCTTCCTGGCTGGAGAACTTGAGGAGACCAAGCGGGGGGCAGAGTGGGAGTGGGGGTGGGGTGGCATCTCCAAGGTACACTTGGAATCACGGGGGAGGCGCCAGCTTTGCAGGCGGGCGACATCAGGGCCTCTGCCCTTGCCTTGCTGTGGTCTCTTCTGACCTTCTGCACTAAACCCTCTCTGTGCAGCTGAGGCAGAGCTGTTCCAGCCCCACCGCTGGGTACAGTCGGAGCCCCTTGTTGGGGTCCCCTGCTCTAGTCAGAGATGAGAGAGAACAGAAGGGCCCAAGAGAAGTGAGGCCCACTTGGAGAGCAGGCCAGGGGCGAGGCTTCCACACTCCCTGCTTCCCCTTCCCTGGCCCTCTCCTTTTCCTGCCCCCCACTCACACTGTATGAAAACCTGTTAATCTAGCCTCAGTGCCCAGGTGACCAGCCTTGTTCCTGCACAAGGCCTGAAGCTAAGAGCTGAGCTCCCCAAGACGGGGGGGGGGGGGGGGGGGGGGGGGGGGGGGGGGGGGGGGG